TGGTAGCTTAGTTGGTTAAAACGTCGCGTGTACTTCTAATGTCAATTCCGAGTGCGCTAGTCAGCGAGTTCGATTCTCGTTAGGCACATATTCTTTTTTTCTTACTTTTGAAGCTAGCTTAGAGTGCTCGGTTAACCTGTAGGTTAACCTAGTTGATAACCTCCCTCTTATCAAATATTTTTCGTCTTCGGATCTAGCTTAACCGGTCGGTTAACTGGACACTCCAACCGCCCGGTTAACCTGTAGGTTAACCTAGTTGATAACCTCCCCCGTACCAAATATCTTTCGTCTTTGGATCTAGCTTAACCGGTCGGTTAACTGAGCGGTTAACCTAGATGTCAACCTGCCGTTCCTACTCGATTATGATAACCTACTGCTCGGTTCACTACTAGGTTGGAGCTAGGTAACTAGGTAAAAAGGTACATTTAGCTAGATTCATCAAGTGAATAACCGCCCGGTTACGTGTGTGTTGGAGCTAGATCCACTCCATAGAGAATTTTTGCTTGGGAAGTAAACACAGCTAATACAGAAATGGCTAAGGATTAGTAACATATTCTGTCACATACCCATACAGTACACTAAAAGTAAGAGAAAAAAAACTAAAAAAAAACAGAAAAAGGAAGAAGAAAAACACAACTAAATATTTGAAATAAAGTTAACGTTCACATGTCGAAGTTGGAATGACATTAAAAGCTAACATTGTAAGAGAACACACAAACCAACTGTAAAGGTATGCATAATAGAAGCGCTGACAAGGGGTTCAGTTAGTATCCTATTCCAGTCAATCCGAGTCTGCCAAAAGAAAGATGATTTCACTGTTTCGAATTCAGAGAAAGGCACCGTGACGCAGCGAGAGTGGAGCCTATTACGATCAGATGCTCGGGTGGTAGAAAGACTAATAAGATTAGAAGAACTTAGCAAGGAGTAATTGTTGAATAAGCGGAAGTAGTTAACTAAACGAAAATACAACTGTCTAGTTTTTAGTTCAGGAATTTCCAATTTATTTATTAAAGTCCTACTTTCATGTAGGTAGTTGAAATCTTTTGTGATAATTCTAGCTGCTAAACGCTGATCAATCTCCAAGGGCTCAGTTTGAGTCATAGATTGCAGAGCAATAATCGGTCTTCGGAATGCCGCACAAGACATATAGAGTAGTAATCTTAGTAAACCAGGAGCATCACGAAAAACTCGATTTATGGCTCCTAGCATATGTCTGCAAGATAAAGCTACTTCATTAATGTACGCAGACCATCTTAAATCGTGAGATAAACGTACACCTAAAAGATTCGGAGCTGGACCATGTTTTACCGGTTGATTATCGACAAAAAAAGACAGGTTTGCCTCGAACTTAGGATCTAGACAAAAATAAATCCAAGAACATTTGTCGAAGTTCAATCCCAGCGCAGTTCGACCTCTTATTTTTAGAGAGCTTTCAACTGCAATTTACTAACATTAGCTTGAACAAAAATATGAAATACGGAAGAACATATTATTTCTTTATAACAATCAAAAAAATCAAAAAAAATAGTAAAAAGTTAACGCACAATACTATCTACAGAACCGAATCAAATCATTTTTTTCTGCGCACATCAATTTTTTTGACCTTTGATAAATAATTTTGCCATACTTCTAATAATTTTTCTTGTTGTTCTAATATTTTTTTTAAATACAAATCAGTAAGTGCCTTTTTAAAATCGTCCGTACGTGTCTGGTCAAATACTTTTATTTCATCTTTAATTGTTTTTGATATATTTTCAAATTTAACTCTTGCACGATCCACATTTCTTTCCCATTCACATATTTCCATTTCAACTACCGTTATTTTTTCATGATTGATGGTTGATTGTTCCCGTAATTTGCCTTCTGTATCACGTTTCTTCTTTAGTGTTACTTCAGCTGACTGCCAATCAAGAAAGACTTTTACACGTTCATGAAATGTAGAACTGACCACATCAATTAATGAAATATAATCTTTTAATAATTCTGTAACCAAAAAAAACTCAGTTTGTATAAAGTCGGCTTGTATTTTTCCAGAGTTTTCTAAAACACACATATCATAAGCACTTTCTTTATCGGTTGCACTCTATTCGACTTTCACAGTACAAGTTGCTCCACTCAATGGAACAAATCGGTCTTGCGCAAATTCGAGTTGAACAGGGTATTATACAAATACTAAAGGTCAGCCCAAAATTGAGACTGTCTTTTTTGAGAGAAAGTTTCTCGTCTCGTTGTTTTTTCAAAAATCAATTTTAAAGCCTGAGGAATTAAAAGCGCTCGAGAAGGAAGTTTAACATACATTAAAAAGTCAATTTTTTTTCTTTTGAGTGACGTTCATTTTCCTCTGTCTTAGGAATACGCATATTTTGTTAGATTTTCATCAAAACCATTAAAACTCTTTAAAACTGTGCAAAACACGAAGTTTTGTGCCTTTGTCGCAGAATTTTGACCGTTTTTGGCGAAAATTTTGACAAAAATACTCGTATTCCTGAGACAGAGAAAAATGAATGTTACTCAAAAAAGAGTCAGTTTTTTGTTTCCTGAGCGAAACCTTTTCCTCTGGACTCGGGCGTAGCTGACAACGGTTGCGAAAACAAGGAATCTTGCGTACCTTCAACTTTAGCTAATTCTGCTAGCGCAATGGCTAACGATGGATCATCTTCGGCTGTTGACAGTTGATTCAATTGTTTTACTAATCCTTCTCCTGCTTCTCCAGCTTCTTTTCGTTGCATAAATAATAAATTAAAATTCCCATATAAACGTTTTAAATTCATATGTAGTTTTGACAGAAATGTTTGTTTTTCAGTGAACCAACTATCGTCTTCGTTGATTTTAAATCCCAATTTATGAGCTGAGTCTGATAGATTTGATAGTATACGGTGCACACTGGCACCCGATACTGTCTGTGTCTCCGTTGATTTCGGAAGACTACTCGGTAGTTCTAGAAATTCACGAAAATTTACATCCTTTATCAAAATCTTGTGTCTGGCTAATCGATTCAAATACCTTTCGAGTGTACCTAAAATAAAAATTTAGTATAAAGTTTAAAGATAAGTGTTCAATTCGATTTCGCTACATGCCACGACGACGTTCAATAAAATCAACGGGTATAGCGTGTTCTATTGACACTATCAGTGGTGTCTTTTCTGGAGGTGACGGTAGAATGATACCAGTCTGTAAATATTTTAAGACTAATTTACTGTGTAAGCCAAGAAAATCACTGAAACGACGTTTAACGGTAAATTCAGAATTTTCAAATATTGACATATTGGTTTTTGTTGTAATAGGATAGACCATATATGAAAACATAATCTTAAGATAAGAAAAACGCTGACTTTCAGGAGATGACAGCATGGTTATCATTTGTTGTACTTACTGCTTCAGCTTTTGTTGGATTACCGACTGTAATATGAATCGCTTGAGCAGGCGGTAAACCAGTGCTCCTTGCAGTAGTAGTGGTAGGAGGAGGTGACATCGTATTATGAGCATGCAGGCGTGGTGCGAAAGGCCTACAATTGAGAAGAAGAAATGACTTACGCTCTCCTCATTAGCACCAGAAGCTGAATCGGACTATCCTCATAGAAGCTGTTACCTCTGATTTTGGATGAATGTTGTAGCACGCTCAGTTAGAGTTTCATCATAATAATCGTGTCTGCGCACACTATTAATATCTGCTGACGCTGAAATTAGAGGAAAAACTGGACAAATGCTTAGAAACTATGTGAGTTCTCACTCACCTCTCAAAACATTTCTTAGAAAAAGATCTTCGTTGTCATTGTCACTATCCATATGGATATCTTCAAGAGTTGAATGAATGTTTAAACTATGATCATTCCATTCATCTCTGTCGATTTGTCTTGTTTCTTGTCGTAGTTCATTCATATAGGCAAAAGGATATCGGTCTTCATCCTCGCCCTCAACGGTTGTTGTTTCGAAATGATGTAGCCGATTATTAGTTGCAATTTGTTGGTGCCATTGAAGAATACAATTTTGTTAAAAGCAGGACAAGCCGATTCAGCTGGGAACTGCAAACAACAACTGTCGGTTTTGTAAACTACTCTGAACCATTGATTGTGTCAATTTTCGATATTGATGTCGAATTTGGGTCCATTTTATAATTCAGATCTCATCTTCCTGGTGAAAATTTCACATTATTCTGCAACTTCTTGCACTTCCGCTAGAGGTATACGGGATATCCGTGACTCTACCCTACCCTGCAGGGTAAAGGATGGGAAGTTCAGAGTAGGGTAAAGGAAGAGTTCGAAAATGTCTCGAATGGTAGGATTTGCGCTGGAAGAACCCAAAGCTGCGTATCTCTAATTTTTGCACCATCGGCTACTCTTATTTTCTAAATGATGACCTGTCGTCCTTTACCTAGTAGTTTCAAAAATAGCCTGTCTTACACAATAACCTTTTCATAAATGTCCTGTTATGCAGCTTGAAAGATTTCAAAAGATTTCAAAACGGAGTTATGTTTGAAAGTGAAATTTTCGAATACTTTTAACTTAATTTTAAGAGTTAGGTATGAACCCTAGTAGCATTCCCGCTTCATTTCGCGGCAAGAATACAGCCTCATCTTGCCGCGATTTTGACAAGAAATTAGAAACTTAACGCGGGATCCATACCGCGATCGTACTTAATCTTGCTATTTTTCCCATGTAACGAAAATTTGACAATCTTGACGCGAAAATTTTTTGACGGGTTCGCGCTGAAATCCTGCAAAGCTCGCAACGGGATCCGGACAAGATCGTACCAAAATCCCAGTATGATTAGAACAAGGTTGTAGAAAGGCTGAGAAAGCTTTCCTACCACTTATCTGATTGTCACTGCATTCTTTCGATGGTTTAATCTCTTTTCCACCAAATTTCATCATATTTTACTCGGTATTTTCTTCCAAAACATGAAGAAATTAGAGCTTTTTCCTAGAACATCTTCAGAGTACACAGCAATTTATTTTTTTTCTGTTGAGTTACGAGCTCATTTCATTTCAGTGTCACAAAGTTGAACTATTATTAATTTGCTCATCTAAAGTGTGATATTGTTTTCGCCGGTGAGAAGTTTCATCTCAGATGTATCCTTAGCTTCTTCATCGGTGTATTTTTCAGTTCTGATTCGAAACGTTACTGCCATTGGATCTCAGAAAAGAAGTAAGAGGAACTGTCTTTGTGTTTCACCTGTGAGTTGTGTCAGTAAGGTAACGTTTGCCGTATGTGAAGAAAACATTCACTCTTGAACTTCCGGTGAATGTGTATCTGTAGATACTTGACACTCGGATCAGTTTTTTGCTAGAGCCAATCTAGCGTCCTGTGATTAAGGTGCTCTGGCTGTGCCGCTATCCTCTGTGCATCGAACAGGATCGAAATGATCGTTGCTACATTCTGAAAGACTCAAACGGCAAAGCGATCTTACACCGAGGTAACCCACAATTTGTGATATTTCAACCTTGTGCATTTCCCTCACTGTTGTGACTTTTCATTCTGAGATCTCGGCACAGTCAACATATTTAACTGAATCTACACACCGGAGAAGACTTTAGATTTGATGCATTGTCCGAGAAAGAATATTCTCTTTCGACTCTAAAATTATCAAGGAGAAAATAGTTCAACTTTGAGACAAAAAAATTAATTTTCCTCTCCGAATGCTCTTCTCTCTGGAAAATTGCTGTGTGCTTACTGATGACAATAGTCAACAGTTAGTCTATTTTCATTAACTACAACAAAACCCAAAAAACGCTCGAAGAAAAACACTCGTTGTACTTCGTTAAAAAGTCAAGAAATATACATTACACGTGTTAAGAGAGAACAAAGAATAAACACAGTGGACGATAATATATGCACACTGTCTGTCCGTCTGCTCTAATCCTGCCACGATCCCGTCACTGTCTTGAAACACAAATGAAACGGGATCGCATAACGAACTTGATCAAGAACGCGATTCCAATTATAAGATCGATCCAATTATTTTGTCAAGATCAACATTTTTTCGTTACACGGGAAAAAATCGGGTTCGTGGTCAGATCTCTGCAAGAATGGAACGAGAATATCATAAATATAGGGAAGGGCTGTTGAACATATCAAGTGCACCATTGAAAGCAATTTTCAATGGACTTTCGATCGAGATGTTGGCCGAACAGAGATAGGGAAGAAAAGATGTCGAGGTTACAAATAAAAATTGCGGCTGGCGTGATACGTCTCTTAAGACACCTAGATTAAACGTTGCTGCAGAAACTTTTTTGCTGGAGTTCAAGAAGATGTCCATATCTTGCTATGTGTAACCAATTATCGTTGACTCCAAGTGCTTAAATACGAGTGCGCTGGATCTATCAGACCCGCCGCCTCTCTTGTTCAAGACTAACTCGAAATAGCAAATATTATAGCTCTTTAACAGTATCTTTCACGACTCACGAAAATCAGGAAGTTTCATATCACAGAAAGTTTCCTATTCTTACCATATGTCTTTGAATTTCCTCTATTGGAAACAGCTTTTCACACACTTCACATGGTATTTCAATAGTTTGCTGTCGATTCTAAAAAATGAAGGGGGTTTTAGTATACATGTTGAAAGAGAAGTATAAGTCACTGATGCCTACACAACAAAAATGCAAACATTGGAGGACCACCAGCAGGACAACTGCCCCCTATTGCTCCTCCTGGAAAAAATATCAAGGACACAAGCTGTTATTGTCCTGTGAAGAATTATGTTTCGAATTACAGTAAAACCTCTATTAGTGAACACCTCCCATTTTGAACAAGGTCTTGATCCGACGGAACTATTTTTGCTGGAAATGCATCTCTCTAATGTGAACACCTCTCTATTCTGAACATGAACACTTCTTTACAGTCCCTCTAGCTACTATAACCTCTCTAATGTGAACACACGTGAAATGATTTTTTAAATCTCTATCTACTGTCTATCACCTTTTTCTTACGTGTCACGACTGATCATACTCTCTCACGGACAAAAAAAGTACATTTTTCTATTCGCTCGTTCTCCTCTATATTTTATTATTATATTTTCATTTGCATATCCCCAAGCAAAAACGACCCAATTTTTTGGGTTATTTATCTAGATTCAGCTCCATGTGCATCTAGATGTACGTGGAGATGAATCTAGATAAATAACCCAAAAAATTGGGTCGTTTTTGCTTGGGTCCACGGATACAGCATAAGTTAAACTACATATATATATATCTATGAAGTCCATTTCACTCGCTTATTGTTTCGGATTTCTTCGGCATATACAAAAATGTCTCATTTCCGTGATATTGAACGAATACAAATAATAATTTATACTATAATAAGATATGAAAGTAGATCAAGAAAAGATGATAACTCGGACGAGACAGAAAAGAAAAAGACAAACAACATTTTTTTGTGCAAAACTCAATCCTGTGTTGTATTTGAATATTTTTTCAACTATAAGATATTTAAATAAAAAGAGAATGAATAGCTCTTATTACATTCAGAACTAGTGTAGAAACAGACATTCTGTAATTTTTTCTTCATTTTGCAGCAAAACATGCGTCACCTCTGTAAAGTGAACACCTCCCATAGTGAATACTTTTTGGACGCTCCCGATGGTGTTCACAATAGAGAGGTTATACTGTATATTCTTTTAGGTTTTCTTTTATAGTTTATGTGTACACTGCTGTAAAAGATTTATTGCGCCCACCTAAAAAACTTTGTCGGCCCGCCCATGAATGCAAGACAGAGTGAAAGCAATGCCTCACTGTGAAATCCGTTCGATATTTATTACCACGTACCCTTTTCTGGTATTGCGCTTGAAGGAGGCTGTCTTTTAAATCTACAAATGATGGTCGTTCTTGCGGTCGTAATGCAAAACACTTGTCAATAATCAACCACATTTGAGTGGAACAACTTGATGGCTTTTGCAGTTTATCGCCGCGACAAACTCGTTGCTTCACAGTATCACATGGAATTTCTGACCAAGGTACCGCTCCTTTCGAATATGCTTCCCACATTAGTACACCCATCGAATATATGTCAGATTTTTCAGAATAAGTTGCATTTGCTAAGACTTCTGGAGCTGCAGAACATTTGGGAAGAATATCTATCACTGTTCTCGTTACAGCATTTGTCGGTGCATACAACTGACTGTGACGACTGATACCAAAGTCAGTTAACTTTACAACGTTCTTTCGCGGATCGTGTATATCATATTGAAAGACTAGTACATTTCGACAAACTAAATCTGCATGTACAACATGATTATGTGCTAGGAAAATCATTGCGTTCGTAATCTGTATAAAAATTTCTATTAAAACATTTTCATCCAGTGTTTTATGTTGTATTACTTCATTCAAATTTCCCTCTGGAGCATACTCTTGGAGTAACATGACTGAATTTTTATCAACATTGCTATTTCCACTGTCAACTAAACCAAATGTCCGTACAATGTTTGGATGACGTGTTAAATCAACATAAAATTTTGCTTCCTTTTGTGCACGTGCACCATCAATCGTCAATAAAACTGTTTTCGGACGACTGGAATTATTTTTCAACCATTCAGCTTCATGAATTTTTTTGCCAAATGTTGTAAACAGGGCTATGTGTGACTTTCTCTTCACGTCCACATCTAATTTGAATTGATACTTTTGTGAGCGTGTAATTTCTTCAAATTCCTCAACAAGCTTTTTGACAGTGTAATTAGAAATTAAAGTGTCAATAGTTATTCGTTGCCGTGTTATAGGACTTGTTCCATTCTCATGAATCCACTTAACAATTGCCTCCCGTTCATATGTGTGCCCATCTGCTGCAACGACTGGATCCCGAAATAAATCGCAGGTTATAGGACATGTAAGTGAATCACTCATGTTGGAGTAGAAGGAATAGTTTCCTTATACCGTAAGAAGTTAAATCAACTATGGTTCCTTTTTTTGCTTATTCTTTCTTTTATAAGAGAATATTTTCAAAGAAGGGATAAAAAGGTTGCGAAAGAACGATAAACACACTTTTAAAATTTAGTTTTTTCCCTGTTTTTTTCTAATATCAACAGAGCGGTTGAGTAAGAAATGACTAATGTAACTTTTTTCTGCAGGTAAAGATGTGAATATTCTTCTTCCCAACTTTAAGCACATACAAGCATGCTTACCTTTTTCCATCTAATACTTACTTTAGCATTAAGCAATTTTTCAGCCACCATCACTCTTGTTACCATCCTCTAGCGATTGCCGCTCTTTCTGAAATATGTAATTTAATGATGATGAACGACAAAGCATGAAAAAAATGAGCCGTTCCTTCATAGTGCTTGTTATATAGAGTAGAATTCTCAAAGGCCAAGTTCATCTCTTCGACGTAAGCACTTTATGGGGATGAAACCGGATCATTTTCTGGCGGAGAGGGACTGCAATGATATAAAGTTTATTACACTATGTTGATTCGGTATTTTGGAATAAAGTTTAGACTTTTAACTATTCTAAATCAGAATGCTGAGAGTATGACCAAAAGTAGAAGCAGCTTATAAACCAGTAATGCAGCAGTCTTCTCTTTCCTCTACAGTTCACAGGTAACGCTGTGATATTTTTCACGCACGTGGTTTTAAATTTTCTCGGAAATTATAAAAGCGGATGAAAATACCTCTACTAAAAGAAAGTAGAACAAAAGCAGTATTATTCAGCAATCCACACAGTGTCGGCCGATACAACGGTTTCTGTCGGTTGATATCTCAGTATACTAGACGACAAATATTCGATGACATTGTACATACGACACCCTTTGCTTTAATCATCACAGTTAGCTCGATTAAGGATACGGGTCTGGTATATTTTTGTTCTGTTGAAAGTGTATTAAAGTAATTCTGTATATGATCATTCCCTACTATTCTGTTTATAAAATGACCGATATAATGGTTGATGTATCAGTGGAGTATAATGACACTGTGATTTAGTCAGCTCGAGTTGTTTGATAATTTCGCCGACATCACTCTCTACGAATATTTTAGATTTTTTAATTTTATACCTACGGGACGGGATCGGGATAGGGATTGGCGAAAAGAATTTTTCGGGATCGGGACGAAAAAACTCAATCCCGCAGGGCTCTACCTAGGGCACTTTTTTGCTATATTATATATATTGAAGGGGAAATTAGAATTTAGGGCAATTTAGAAATCCCCTAGGGAAAGTTGGAATTCTAATCTTTCCTATAGGCGCTATCGCGCAAATTAGAATAGTATACATTCAGCTGGTCCACCAGAAAGTAGTGTTAAGAGGGTTTTCAGATCAAAACGATACGTGCGTTCCACTTCTTTATTAGAGAGATGTGTTTCCTGGTGCGTGGGAATCGCTTCGAACGAATCGATTCTAAACTACGACATAGAAGAGGTTATGATCCTGGGTGACTTTCCTGAAACTTTTTGAGGATGATTCCCAGGTCCAAGAAAACGGCACCGTTAACGGTAAATTAACGTGCCGTAAACGGACCGTTTTCAGAACCTAAAACTCGTAACGTTTTAGGGTCTTAAATAACTCGTTTTTTCACCTTTTACGGATCGTTTTCTAAACGTTTTCTTACCATTTACTGGCTGTTTATTGACCGTTTACTGGCTGTTTTTTGTTGTTTTGAGAGCGTTTTGTTTCTCACTTATCGACCTAATGTAGGTACTAGACTATACACATCATCTAACGCCACTATAATTTTTTTCCTTACTTGAAAATATCGAAATTCGAACATCAGAACTTGTGTTTGCTAGTCCGTCAGTGTAACTATATGGCCATGTCGGTTCCAAAACTAACACTATCAAAATGCTATTGAAGCTTGCAGGCTGATGTACTACTTTACATGCAATTTATTCCAGTGCATCTACATAGTGTGAAATATGATGGAGGAAAAACGAAAAACACACACATATTGGATTCTTTAAACCGTAAACAGGCCATTAACTATCCGTTAACTGCCCTTTAATGGCCAGTTAATGGCGAACTTCTGTATGAATAATAAATAGTTTGGAAACGTTCAGCAAACGGTGACCGTTAACTGACCGTTTTCTGACCATGGACGTTTTCAGACAATCTTTGGACCGTGAAACGGCCACACTAACAATCGCAAGTTAACGGCTTGTTTACTGGGCGTTTTTTTGCCGTTTTCATAACGTTAACGCGCCGTTTTTTGTGTGACCGTTTACTGGAGGTTAACTGACCGTTAACGGGCCGTTTTTTTGGACCTGGGTTCATACTTTCATTATTTACTTTCTCAAACGTGTGAAAAATGTTACAAGAATTTTTTATTTTTAAATGTAAATGTAAACAGGAATTCTTTTTATTCATATCTGTTGAAATATCTTCCTCTGCATTCTCATCTTCACTTATTTATTTCTTCCTATTTTTGTACCGTTAGAACCTTGAAAGGTCGTCAGTTCTTGTAAATAAATATAGAAAAGCCTAGGAAAAAGGAAGGACACAGAATTATAAACAGAATATTATCGAGTTCTAAATGCATAAGGAATATCTACTGACTAGCCTTCAAGTGATTAATATATTGAATATAACTAGATCTAGTGTGTGTACTTTTTAAAATAAAAAATAAAATAAACATGACACTTTTCTCTAATTTTAGTCAGTGAGTAGGCTAGTCTAACGGCTTTCAACGCGTTGCAATAAAAATTATTCAATTTCTTTTCTTTTCATCAGGTTTCGGTTGAGATGTTGGCGCTAGGTATGCATCGGTACCGGTATCCATACCGAAATACCGATAGCGACCTCTTTCGATTTGGACTTTTTTGGCTTTTTTCATTTGAAATAAGATATTTTAGCGTCATGGACAGTCGGAACACAAAAAGCACTCAGCTGTGCCTTCAGAGCATGTGTAGATAGAAAATAAAGGAAAACTTTGGCTTTACAAAGCAAAAAAAGCTCTTGTTTTGTGTCTCTGTTTCTTTCTGTTTGTCAATGATGCTAAACTATCTCATTTCAAATAAAAACATCCAAATCGAAAAAAGTCGATATTTTCGGTATACTGATACCGGGACATATTTCTCCATCGGGAAAGTGGACACGGACTGACCGGTGTGTAATATGTAACTTTAGTATTACTACATCAAAATCTTACACGATGGCACTTGAGAGTACTATCTACTACGTCGTCAACATGTTGGAAGTTTGTTATGTGGATTATGGTATTGCGGATTATTTTTTCCAACGTATCTCTGAACATTTTTGATATGTCTGCAAATCTGAATATCCACTGAAAAATTCAACATACACAATTGATAAATACAAAAATTTAACAACAGTTATTAAGAATAAATATTCAATTCTAAAACATCTCAGTATAATTCTTAGACTGATAGTATATCTGCCAATTTGACAGTTTCGCTCGATTCACGTAATCTTCAATATTATAATTAAACAAACTCAAATCTTTAGAATAAGTCTACTGAAGTTTACATATGAGATGTTCTGGAAGAGTTTCATATAGCTTTTTGTATACTTTGTCTTTTATCACCGTTGATCTATTACTACTGATCATTTTTATTTGCTATTCTTTTGAGTTTGTTTGTTGTTGTTGGTAAAATGTTAACTCACTTATACTTAAATATTGTTGAGCAAATTTTCGACATATTGCTCGACGTATATCACCATACAGGGATACATGAATATTCCTTGCATCTTGAACTGATGGAATTCTCAATGTAGCTATTTTATCATAATAAGCGGATGCTAAACGATTAAATGGATGACGAACAAATAGTACTTTCGTAGCATCGTGAATAAAATTTTTCGCACGCTGCAATTTCAATTTGGGTTCAATTTCAAACGCTGGTTCAGTTTGGGAGGCGGTCAGTGAACGAATTATCGCGGCTCGACTGCAGTGTCATCCGATCTCTATAACTCTTTTCGCCGTATACTCTCCTGTAAACCCTCAATCTGGGCAAAAAACAGCAAGCGACACAGTAGATGCCTTCTACCTCGACCTGCAAGATGCAGTAGATAAAGCTCCAAGAAAAGATATGTCTCTCTATATGAGCGGTTTTAACGCTAGGGTCGACAAGCAACAGCATTCAGCGAGACCTAGCGTGATCGGCATACACGCAGTCGACCAACTCAATGAAAACGGACAACGCCTAATCTATTTTTGCTCGCACAACAACCTTATAATAGCTAACACCTTTTCTCAACACAAAGCGGTTCACCAAGCGATCTGGATGCATCTGAGTTTACCGCCACCGTTAACGATCCCAGCGATAATTTCTTTGGTCAAACTGGCCCGCAAACAAAGCGCAAGGAGTGGCTTACATATGAAATGCTCGACATCGCCGGTAAAAAGTCACATGCATTTCTCTAATTTCGTATTTCAATCAAAAGACAATTTTCTAGCAAATCTTATCCCTAATTTTCTTTTTGCAAATGAGTCACCATGTAACCCGTATTTTTGGAGCTGAAAACAGCAAAAACCTACTTTTGAGTAACTTTTAATTAAGGATCATCTATAGAGGACGTCTGACAACAGTGGTGGACCAGGAGAGAGAAAGCTGGCAATAAAATACTGTCTGTTGCTTTGCTTTGCTTTGTATTAAAAGTAATACTAAAATACCACTTTTACGAACAAAAAAAGTAATACTGGCTAGAAAACTCCTTTGAATACGAACATTACGTTGAATTTAAAAACCTCTTGTTGCCAGATCCTTCGATCTGTTCTGTTCAATTCACTACTGACCACTGAACGCTTTACCTGCTTTCAAAATCGAGCGGTCTCTTCTGCTGTGTATGTGCCATTCCACAGTTTTTAAAAACCACTTAATTTTTCTTGAACTTTTTTTGATAACTTCGTATGCAGACAACTGTTCTTGTTTCTCAGCCACTCCCTAGAGGTGCACAACCTGAGACTGCGTGTGAAACATGAGCTCGATGAAATTAGTTGCAAAAATGAGTTTATAAAAAAAACACCTGTTTTTGTAAATATTTCGACAAAAGAAAATTTCCTGTTGGTTCTACACCTTTGCTATGCCAATGATTTTTGTAATTGTGGGAAAAACGGGCGCAAAACTTCCATAAACTTTTAAAAAAGTTCTATCGCTTTAGACACAACAGATTGCTAATCGCCATAGTTTGCAATCAGGATTCGTAACGCCACTCTCTGAGTTTATGAACACCATTTTTAAGGACTTTGTACACTACAATCAGTTATGTAAACACCATAAAATCTGGAAAGCCGTTATCTAAAGGGATTCCATAAAGATGAACGAAGTTCGAACTTTCGTCTTCTTTGGAGAACAGAGCACGAGTTTGCGATCCGAATAAGGTAGAACAGTGTTTGTTTTGACAACGCGATTTAGGCGGAAAAAAACTGCGTTTTTTCTATTTTCTAATGAACTCCAAATATTTTCAGATTTTGACATTTGCTTCTTGGAGAACTGACCTTTCCCCTGGACAACTCTGATCTAACATATAGACAACACAGATAGGTTTAAAACTCGCGAGTTTTTCAGGTTAATTTCTTTCTAGATTACAGACTCGTCGAGAAACTTAAATCACGATTGGAGTCAAATTTTATTCTACCTAGCGGAGCTGTTCTAAAAACAAAACAAAATGAAAATTCAAAACTGGTTTCGAACCTCAGCATCTAGGTGGTTATGATGAAAATAAGTATTCAGTGTTGCTGTTACCCATCAGTATATCCAACGGTAAACGTAGGAATCATGGTAACCGTTTGGCAATATGAGCTGCACGTCGGCCGGTAACCCCGCAACATCGTTTCTGAGATCTTACTTATTGCGTAAGTCAGCAATACTCTGTTGTATAAGATGGGTAACTCCCCAAGCAAAAACGACCCAATTTTTTGGGTTATTTATCTAGATTCAGCTCCACGTACATCTAGATGCACGTGGACCTGAATCTAGATGAATAACCCAAAAAATTGGGTCGTTTTTGCATAGGTCAAGCTGAGTGGAGTAGTAGTCGTCATTATTAGCCTAACCGGTTAGGCTACTAGCCGATGTGCGGCTCATATTGCCACACGGTTACCACGATTCCTGCGTAAGTAAAGATCTAATAGAATTGGTTACATAGATCGCGAAGATCGTAGTCTATTGTACGATTTTAAATAATCTGCGCATCGTATTCTGGAAATCGCACCCATCGAGAATCCAATTCTAAATTATGCCAACGACAAATACCTGCGGAGACTGTGATGGGATGGATCGTGTTCGTTCCTTGCCATCCAGGACGAAAATATGTTTTTTAAATTCTATTGGATGAGTTGAGAAAGGAACCCAACACTTTTCGGAAAAACTTTAAGTAAAAAACCTAGTTTTTATCAATATAAAACGAGTTACTTGCAAAAGAATTTTTCTATTGAAAGAAAGTTGGTTTAAGTGTTACAAAAATTACGCCGATTTCGAACCAAACTTGAAATATTGCGCGGTAACTGCCGGTGCAGAAATAACAGAGCGTCGCTAAACCGATCATTCAAGCGAACGGTACGGTTTACCTGCGGTAGTCTTCGCGATCATCGGTGGTATTTCGGAAAAAAGTGCGATATGACGTCAAGTTGATTGCTACTGTCTAGGTCAAACCGAACGATATATGTAGGTGGTGTTAATGACACTTTAACGCACGTTACTAAAACTCTGTATGACGACACAAGTTAACGTGACATAAACGTCAGCGTTTTTACTTTCCGTGAAGACCTAGCAGCAGCAGTCATGGTGATATTCGGAATCAGTATGGTCGATTACCTATGGACTAAACACAGGTAAACCTGACTTGAAGCATTCCGTGCTTTTACTGTTCATTAAAATATCAATATTTTATGTTGAAACATAAAAATAATGTAAAAGGATTCTGATAAAATACCTTAATTTCGAAAAAAAAAATTTGCCAACCTAAGAAAAAGAGCCGTCCAGAATCGCATTTGCAGGTGCATAAATACATCCAAGTAAGGGACTCTTTTTCTAAACAAAATATAACGCATCCTTGATATCGAGAAATTTAATTAACTATCTAGAATTCATGTATATTAATTCTGGCTATGGATTTGAAATTCAGTGTAGTAAACATATTTGTCTTCTTTTCCTTTTCTTTTCACAAAATATAATTAACCAAATAGTATTAAATATCGTGATAGGATATCTTACTGATTACAAGTTAAAATTATAGAATCATAATACAATCTAAACTAAAATGGTGTGAGAGGATTGCAATTTATGAGAAGGATTTTCAGAAAAACTAAATATTACTTTACATAAAACGTTGAGTTTTATGTAGAAATGCATATTATCAAAAAATATTTTAAATCTGTTGTAAAATTGCAGTAGTCTCATTTTCTTTTTATGTTTATTTATTTATTTATTTATTTATTTATTCTAGAAATTGTAAAACAAACGTTTCTCGACAAAATGCGGTGTCTCGAGGCTCTGTACGCTTCATTGTTTAAAAAATAAAAGGAAAATACAAAACATCCTTTTCAAGCTTCGTTTTGTGAAAGTAGCATTTAGTATGCACCGTTTATTACTTAAACAAAGAAACGTACAGAGCCTAGATACGCCTCATGTTGTCGAGAAGCGTTTGCTTTACAATTCTAGATGTTCCACAGTCATGCACGTACTTCTGTTAAAAAAAATACAAACACCGCAAAATGTCAAAAATTTCGTCACAGAATTTCACTTCGGTAGCAGAGCTATCTGGCCGTGCCATGCCGGTCTACTATTTGTTATAGGATACTCTTCTATTCTGAGGGGTTGGGGAAGAGCGGTTTAGAATGAAATTTTTCATAGTTATTTGATTGTGAGAAAATAAATAAATAAATATAAAACGGATGAGGCTGCTGCAATTTTACAACAGGTTTAAAAGATTTTTTGATAATATGCATTTCTACATAAAACTCAACGTTTATATTTAGGTTTTCTGAAAATCCTTCTCATAAATTGCAATCTTCTCATACCATTTTAGTTTAGATTGTATTGTGATTCTATAATTTTAACTTGTAGTCAGTGAAATGTCTTATCATGATATCTGATACTATTTGGGTTAATTATATTTTGTGAAAAGAAAAGGAAAAGAAGACGAATATGTTTACTACACTGAATTTCAAATCCGTATCCATAATTAATGTATACAGACTCTAGATAGTTTCAAGAATGTGTAATATTTTTTTTTATCGTAATTAAACTAAAAGTTTTGTTTTGAAAGAAAAAAAAGTGTTACTTTCTAATGTCTACTCGATATTTTCTAATTAGAAACGGAAAACATAAACCCACGTACTTCTCTTCATTTTTCTTTTAGGTTTTTAATTGTTGGAAAGATTAAACTCTTATCTATTATATGATTTTTCTGCTGTAGTTTTATCACTTCTTTTGAGATAAACAAATGTCTTCAAACAACTCGTCCTCTTCTGCTTTATCCGATATACTGCAGATATTAACTAAATTAGCTATTTTGCCAATATTACACAAGTATATAATGATCATTTTCTATTTAATTGGAAATATTGGGTGTATTCTAAATGTATTTATATTTCTTCAACATCAGCTACGTGCAAATCCATGTGCAATATACTTTTTATCATCGGCTATAATTGATTTTCTTATAATAAATATATTTCTTCTTCTTGGTGTATTGAATGCATGGGATAATAAAATAACCTTATCTACAGGTAGAAATTTATTATGGTGTAAAATGTCTAATTATCTTCTGCTTGTTTTACCAATACTTTCATCTACATACATTATATTGGCAACAATTGATCGTTATTGTATAAGTTCATTAAATCATAAAATTCGACAATTAAGTAGAGCAAGAACATCACGCATAGCTGTTACAGTGACATTCATTGTTTGGGCAATATTTTCACTTCATATTCCATTGACATATGATATTATTAGTCGCACACCCGAAGAACCTAAATCATGTACAGTATCATATAATCAACAAACATTTATCATTATAGTCATAGCTTGTTCACATATTATGTGAACAACTGTAAGTCAGCTAACTTCTCACTGATCAGCCCTGCGATCATGATATATCTGTTCGTTTTTTACTAGACTTTCTATCATTTTTACCTTAAATTCAGCAAAAACTTTATAGTTACATCAGAGACCTACTTCTTTTAACAAAACATGGTAACGATTACTGTTTTTTTTTGTTAAAAACTCAAACAACTAGAAAGTTTATATACAGCAGTTATTTTTGACATGAAACAGTCTAACTTTTTAGATAGATCTGTTGAGAAACACTTTCATCATTATCAAAAAAAATTTGCGTTTTAATTTAAATTCTATATGGAAATTGATCTTGGGTTGATTCGTTTGATAAAACTGTGAAAAGAATAAATTTGTTCAGGTTTCTTGTTTGTTAAGGGTAACCTTCCCCTCTTTTTGGGCCTTCCGTAGAAATGCTATGGAATAAAAACTAAAAGTCACTAAGGCTTCACATTTTCAGAACTGATTGGAAACTCAATGGAGCACGTTTTCGTTTTTGTTTCGAGTTTTTAGCTATTGCCTTTCACCAGTTTTTCGGAAAACTCGATTTTTCATTGTGTGACATTATGACCCCCCTTATATTTCATTCGATCGAATTAAAAATTTTACCAGAGGTACTCAAGGTCAAAGTGCAGAGATTCAATTTTGGAATTTTATTTTAGACCTTTCTTTACCGAGTTATACGGTTTCTAAAATTTAAAAACTTGGTTTTTGAAAGTTTTTCGGTATTTTTCATATAACTCGGTAAAGAAAGGTCTAAAATAAAATTCCAAAATTGAATCTCTGCACTTTGACCGTGAGTACTTCTGGTGAAGTTTTTAACTAGATCAGATGAAATTTAAGGGGGGGAGGGCGTAATGTAGCACAATGAAAAACTGAGTTTTTTAAAAAACTGATGAACGACAATAGTTAAAAACTTGAAACAAAAACGAAAAAGTGCTTCATTGAGTTTCCAATCAGTTCTGAAAATATGACGTGTTAGTGAGTTTTAATTTTTATTTCACAGCATTTCTACGGAAAGCCCAAAATTAGAGGGACACCCTTAATGATGCATAAATTTGAATTTTGTGCTTTTAATTTAGAGAAAAGTAACTTAAATAAAGCGATGGTCACAAAGACCTCCCGTGAACTCATATTGTAAAAGTTAGAATAAAAGATCATCTCCTATTTTTCACATTTTTACTTATAAGTCAAAAATTCATTGTTACCGAAACTGTTCCTTATGAAGCCTATATTTGTCTTGCATGTTTTTCAGGTTTAGCGAAGAAAATTGAGAACAGAATTATGGAGTAATCGAAAAATTCATAATAAATATTTTTTACTGGAAGCAAATTCTCCTTTTCACTGAAGCATACTTAAATATGCACACGGAATAATGTCTTTTTCATTTTGTGCTTGTATAACGTGTTGTTGATTTTCTTTTCTGCAAAAAGAATTGTTGCAAACAACGAGAAAAGTATCTGACGAGCAAAGTACCCCAACTGTTTAAACGCTTTTGGCCTGAAGCTTAGTGGACAATAGGTAATCGAGTGTGCTGAATATCACGTTGGTTTGGGCCCAATTTTAGTTTAGAGACCCGGTTTTCAAGCTGGAAAATTTTTCGAAACAAAAAATGTTTTTGATCCAGCCATATGAAAGAGCTCATTGCCAAACTAAGCAAAACCATTCTTTTAGGTTTTAGAAGAGGTTTTAAGCGGGTTTTAAACGTGCAAAACTGATTTTTATTTACTTGATTTACAACTGTCGAAACCGGTGTTCATAGCGAAAACGTTTTTGAGCCAAAATTAAAAAGACATTATTCCGTGAT